ATGTACTTGATCCCTTCCGTGCGTCCAGCGGCTTCTCACTTTCCGGCTTTGCCGGATCTTGGGCCACCACCGAGTGTTGACTCGATGGTGAATGTCCCAACAATTTGTTTGGTCGGTTGTCAAAAGTCAATCATCCAAATGTTGGTCTTTAAAATTCCAGCGGCTTCTCACTTTCCGGCTTTGCCGGATCTTGGGCCACCACCGAGTGTTGACTCGATGGTGAATGTCCCAATAATTTGTTTGGTCGGTTATCAAAAGTCGATCATCCAAATGTATTGGGTTGCTGGTAGCACTTATGGCCCCTTGTCCGAGGTACACCTAGTTACCTGTTGCAGTATATCACTGTCTACAGTATATGGCATAAATAGTACCGCCAGGCCAGCGCTAGAACAAGAATGGTGATCTGGATCCCTGTGGGGGGATGCCTCGTGGCCAAGACTATACTGTAACCATAAACACCGCTTAAATTCATAATCCGTGTCTCCTCTTATAGCTTTGCTACCAGCACTTTTGCGCGTTGAGCCACTGGCCGTTCAAAACATTGCATATTCCCTCAGGAAGATGAGTGCACGTCACAGCCGCACTTTGGTGTCTTCACTGTTGTACTCATTGAGGGGAGTCAACTCCATCATCACGTCCTGCCAGACGAGCTTCCAGGAATCCGAAAGCCTAATGGCAAATCATGACCTCAAACGTCAACTGGTCCTCTGGACGTGGCATATCGAGCCCACATGCATCCTCCTGCGATGATGTAACACCATGGAAGCAAATCAACAAGCCAAGCAAGCTGAGGAAACCGTATACTCGTAGCAGTGCTGATCAGCCTTTCGTTCGTCAGCGCTCTTTGCGTAAAGCCAACTGCGCTTCGAGGCGATGACGCCTGCTAAGTCCTGACCCCAAGGATCCCCAAGGTAAGCAGATGGCAGTAGTGCATGGATGACAGTGGGGGCCGCACTGCAGCATGGCCAATCAGGGGGCACGCACTATTTCCGCGAAAAGATCACGCTCCCATTCATCTTGTTGCATTTGACACAACAATTTGCGTTACCGGCAGCAACCTCCTGTGCAACCCGAAGACCGCAGGCACTGCTAGCAAAAGCACCGCGCTTGAAAGCACGCTGCTCCTGTAGTGATGGCTCCCGGGACATTGCATAGCCTGAGGAAACACATCGTTCCGGCATTGCGGATGCTGCTGCTCCAGCCACTACGGCCATGGCTGCTGTTTTCACGTCAATCTTAACTTCGTCCAGCATGCATCCAGCAACTCTCTGAGCAGTCAGCAAATTCTACAATGAATGCTGAAACACTGGCAGGAATCCATGCCAAATGCTTCAGCAAGGCACCATCTCCAGGAATGCGCTTGAGGACCTCGTGGCACTGCGTCTCGATGAGAAGGTCAGAGGCATGAATGGGTAAGTTGATGGTGATGAACCTGGGACGACAGCACACACAACTTGGAGTCTGGACACAACCAGTCCTGGGTCTGGCCTGAAGAAACTTTTGATCTTCTCCGCTGCCATCTCCAAGTCCTTGTCGCCCCAGACAGCTGGCAGCTGATTCTCATAGTAAGCTGCCTGCACACGAGATGGCACTACACAAGTACTGAGGAGCGCATTTTTGCAGGCAGCCTGAGGGAATTGGAACTCCGGGAGATTCCTGACCACAGGCCGCAAAGGTGCATGCTAGCTGTTGCACTTCAACATTGAGCCTTGAAATCCTGAAACATGACGGCAGTCGCGTGACCGTGCAGGCGCTAAGCTCAGCCAAAACACACAGGGATGATTGCTGGTTTGTTCTTGGATGCGCCCTCCATCTTGTCAAGCTGAAGCATAAACCTGATGACAGACACAAGCTTTGCGAAGAGATGGCTTCATCAACTGGGATCCACATAGAAGCCCTGCAGCAGATACGCTAGCCTCACTAGACTAGACCTTGCTGTCGCGCGACAAGGAAATTAAGAGGAACTGCATCACGATGCATCAGTAGCTAGCTTGACATGGCTGTCTCATGAATATACCGGCTCTATTGCGGCCCGAACAGCTCCACGATGGCACGGAGTTGAAGAAGCGAAGACATTGACCCAAATGAGAGGACTACCACCAGTGCGCGACAGCTCGCCACGCAATTCCTGGGCCATGACAAGCCCGGTGACGCTTCTTGAAACCCTGCAGTGCTTCTTACAAACTCACAGAAACTCATAGCCCGCCAAGACAAATGTCACAAGCTTATGGTCACAGCCTGCAGCCAAGCCTCAACATACGAAACTGATTCTTGCCGAGATCCACGAGGCAGGTGACACCTGGCAGTGGCAGCTGTTCCACCGTCTTCTGCAGCACACACTGAATCTTGCAGGACTCTTGCAGGCCGAGTACTCGTCCCATGAGCCACGACCCCAGCATTCCTGGGAAAGGCAGGTCGTGCCCTGTCACTCGCTTCGCCGCATCATGCCAAATGTGCCACATTAAATTGTGTCAGGTCACATCTTCGTGCACAGGATCGCAACAGCCGCTGTGGCCTCATCGTTTCCGAGCTCAGAGGAAATGACAACCTCAGCTGAGCATTTAGCACTGTTCGCAAAGCTTTGCATAGCAAGCTGCTGATTGCTTCCCTACATTCTTCGAAAGAGCCGAGAAGCTAGGTCAGTCATATCCTCCTGCCTGAGCATGTCAGGAAAATCTACGAACGCATGTTAAGTAGTACAGGCTACTATCCACAAAGCGGGTAGGTTGCTGAGAATCGTCATCTTCGTCCTGCTTAGGAGGAGACGCGTTCTTTTTCCCCGTCCTTGGCTGATCTCAGCGAGGGGGTTCAAACTGCGATCCGCGACCTCTTAGCGCACAGTGCCGCCGCCGCTGGCTTCATGACTCTGCTGCATGAGCACGGCTTGTATTTGCCGTCCAGCATATCTGTACCCAGGCGCAAACTTGTGAAGGTGAGGTTTGCCAAGTCGTCTGCCAACCTTTGCAACCATCCCGACAAGCTTCCTGGAGCGCTAAACGCTAAACACCATGCAGAGACAAATTGCTGAAAATGAACAATCAAGGTGACATTGCAACCTGGAAGCTTGTCAAATGTGGGTGTCCCAACCATGGTGCTTCTGAATTCCTCAGGATGGGGAGTTGCAAACGTTGTGGGATCTGAGAAATCCTGCCTGATCTGCAGGCTTTAAGGCTTGGGCGCCTTCAGCTATCACTAAGCAAGTGTGACCACATCAATCATAATTCTCACAACCTGAGGGGAAGCGTTCCTGGTTGCTACTCTAATGACCGACACAGTGACTTCTGGTAAGCTGGCAAGGCTCCACGCACGGTGTGCTCGGCTCAAGCAGATTCACAAGGGCGTCTCTGATGTCTTCCATCCGAATTAAATAGCGTGCCAGATTGCAGCCGCGCATGTCCACGTATGACCTTTCTCACGAGGGGTCTGGACAGTGTGCTCCCGACTCAAGATGGCCACTAGCTGCACTAGCTCCTCCGGAGACTTGCTTAGGCTTGCTGTGCCCACTCTTTGCATTGTCCAGGCCAAAGGACCGCAAAAACTCCAGGCTGCGCAGCTCCTCACCAGCCGGCGGGGCATAGCCTCAGTCACTGCACAAGTCAAGTTACGTAGACCTCTCTCGGAATGAACTTTAAACTAGGCGATGCTTCCCCAGAAAGCTCTGTGAGGACCAAAATGGGGATTTGGGTCTCGTTTTGGGGAACTAGGCAACTTTCCCGTAAGTGCTGGGAAGCCCACAACATTCCACAAATGTACAAATGTTTGGAGATGTGCAGCAACCATGCAGGATGTCATAAACATGAGGGAAGAAAGGCCCAAGTGATGCTGATGATACCTTTGCGCACGTGCGGAGGGACATCATCAGTGCCACTAGTGCCACACTTACTTGTTCAACCCGCTTGCCCTCCTCGAGACCCTTCTCATTCCTGTCCCAAGCTTGGCCGGCCCAAGCGACTGCCTGCCCCCAGAACTGCATGCGCAGCTGCAGGTGTGCACTCTTGCGCCAACCCTGCATCATCGGATCTTCAGTTCTGATTCCAGTCCGCGCGCATGACTAGTGAGTAGTGGTTCCTAGGTCCTAGATGCATTCTTTGCTGTCCCCAAATCCCACTGGCTCTGGGCTTGCTGGCCTCACACAAAAGCATCTACGAACAACTCGTCAGCATAATCAAGCAGTCGAAGGGGCTTCGGTTTCTTGTACGTAGGTGCGGAAACAAGTTCAAGGGGCATCCCGATGGCGCAGGTGGGAGAGGGATGGTGAGGGAAACTGGCGCCCGACTGGAATATCAGTAACTGCTGGTTTTTACAGAATTTATCGTTTGGTAGGCGGGGCTGGCAGGAGCAGTAACAGGAAGGTGAGCATTAGCAGAGGCAGCAAGAGAAGCAGCAAAAGTAGTACAGTCGTTGCTGTTGCTGTAGCGATGATAACGGTGACGCGAACCTTGGGAGGAAGTAACAACAACAAAGCAATTGTGAAAAGCAACATTTGTCCTACGGCAAACACGCATGAACATCCCCTTTCTGGTAGAAGTAGGGCCACAGAAGCAGCTTCTGCTTTCTTGACAAAACAGTGACCGCAAGTAGGATCTGGTGTGCATTGTCCACGCTCCTCCATAAATCGGACAAGGCGCTGGAGGTCTTCACCCTCACAACTCGCACAGTGCCGCTCCTCAAAGGCGCATTTACGCCTGGGGGACTGGGGGTGTTGGCGTCCTGCAGCCATGAGTAGACCCTGGCACACGATACGCGTGTGGTCTATGGCAGATGGCAAGGTCCCAGTGCTGCAGAACGTCCAACCAAAGAGAGGGAAGGGCTAAAGACTTGCGAAGAGGGCCACACAACTAGTGAGCAAGCATCCGAAGTAATTGCTCACAGGGCACGCAGGGGGCATCTTAGCATTGCTGCTGACGCTCGTGAGCGTCATATGGCCTAGAACGAGTGACAGCATGAAGGCATTGATGCCAAAATGAGCTGCCTGTTATTGCTTGCAAATCACTTGGGATTGATCCCTGTGTTGTAATCGTATACCACATGAACACACAGCAGCACCATCATCGGACATGTTAAGCATCTCACTCTCTCATCTCAAGGCCTGCGCTTTGGTAGGATGATTGCAGACCGAATGTAAGCACAGCAGTGCAATGTGGCGTCTCCTGAAGGCCGTTACTATCTCGCCGACGCACCACGGCCGCCTCAGGATGTCCCTCGTCATGTACACCACCTGGCTCTTGAAAGCTGCGCGGAACGAGCAAGTGCCACTGACTGACCTTGGCAAATGCTTGCAAAGTGCACACCAAGTTGCCAGGGTCTCGACCTGCACTTTGACTACGTTGAACAACGTGTCCTAGGCATCCAGATATTGCCAGTTCATGAGGCAGGCACACCCACTCTCTTGGAAAACCAGCTCACGAAGAGGAGTACCAGTATGCCGACACATCTTACGCATTTCTGGAGGTATCAGAATGCCAGCTCAAAAACGTGTATGCCAACAATGCTCATTGCCTGATTATCGAAAATCGTTGCTCCCTGAGGAGTCCTTATCCTTCTACAAACACCGATGAGGTTGTATAATAACCCCGCGCCAGAGGATTAATTTGAAAACCGATGAGAAGAAGATAAGATAAAACAATGACAATATTTAGGGTTAAGCATCAAGGAATGAGGTTGCTATACAACCCTGCATGTGGAAACGCCCTAGCTGCGTCTGAGGTAAGAGGAGCTGGACCCCGCTGTCAATATTGCGCCCGGATTACTCTTCTACGGTGCCAAACTCAGCACCCAGCTACCATGGCTCCTGAGGGCGCCGCTGCCTAAAAACAGGCATTATTTTTCCTTGTATTTTGCACTGTCCAGTAGGAATGCTTCGCCCTTGCGCGGATGTTGCGCCAGCTGCAGTAGCAGGGTTTCTACAATATCAGCTCCCATATTCAAGCGTCGTTACAAGCCCTTGTGCGGGACCTTGCGTCGTCCTTGCGGGAGCAAGCACAGACCCCAATTTCTGGCATGCATTTCTCTGGTTCCAGCCCCATGCCCGACATAAAGCCAGGTAAGTTGGGGGAGACGCACTGGGACAAAAGCTAGACCAGGATCTGGGATTGAGATTTTCACGCTAAGGACGATCATGAATGTCTACAGGACTGAAATTTAGAGCGAATACTTGCAGAAGCTACGAAGTCCAGGTAGGTAAATATCAAACTCTAAAATTAACAAACAACAAGTACTACTGGGAATGAGGAAGGCTACACGACACAAGCTCGTGATTGACACCAAAATGTGTGGCACTCAAATAGTATGCATTCTAGCTTCTAACTGTAGGTGCGTGTAGTATCTGCATATGACTTTACTTAAATTATCTGATCTATTGCTCTCCATCTGTTATACTCGAGTAGAACAGTATGTACTTATGCTCGAACACAAGAGAGCCTGGACAAAGGCCAGGAAACTTGAACGAACCTTGTCCAGGGTTCATGCGATGAGTCGACAATGTCTTCTTTTGCCTATGAGGCACGTGTGGCGTGTACGTTCACACCCTTTTATGCATTCTGTTGAGGGTGTTCTTTACGCGTTCTTTAAGGTCGACAAACGAGCCCCCGCGATGCCCGAAACCATCCCTGCCCTGCTGTCTGGCGGAAAAAAACCCAGATTGTTGAACACGCACCAAGGGTTTCCCCCACACCCCTGGTTGCAAGCTAGCGCTTGATAAGAAAGTCAGGCCAGACCCGGAGGCTAGCTTTCGCGATGAACATTTGGTTACAGAGGTGGACACACTCGCACTCGCACAGCCTTCCTGACAGCCAGCGCCTGAGACTCTAAGACCTGCATGCCTTCACTAACTTGAGGAAGTGAGGACCCCTTCTCGCTAGCATTGAACCTGGCTGAGCCACACTCACACACCCGCACACATCGCCTGAACTTCAGAGGACACTCACACACATGCATTGACGTTTGTGAACAAAAACTCTATGCACTACTACAGCTGGAACTGGCAGCGACCCGCATATTCAACGTTAAGCAGCAAGATCAATGAGGTTGTCTGAGTCGATGAACACGTTGCTATGGGGACTTCTTGCCTGCATGCGGCAACTGTTGAACAGGGCCAGAGCTGTGTCCGATGCGCTCTGGCTCTCAACCAGCCTGCAGAAGCATCTTGAGCAAGCGAGCTTGTGCAGATGCGTCAGCTTTGTGGTGGCAGATGAACCACCTGAGTTACTCGGATCTGGTCGGTCTCATTCCTGACCCCATGCATCTGCCTAGATTTGCGTTTCTTCTGCCATGGGGCTTGTAGTGCTTTCCCGGCACCTTGATGCAATGAGCAAGACTCCTTTCTGGATTGCCACAATGCATGCAGGGCTATCAAGGCTCAACCCCGACGGTACTAGTCCCTTCGACGTCAGCCCTAATTAAATGTGAGTATTGGACCTGAGCCGCGAACGCATAGTCTGTACAAGCTGTAGCCCAGGCCGCCAATCAGGAACACTCCCAGGAGACACACAACCGCCGTGCCCGCGATCTGGAGACTCAGCGCAGCGAGAAACGCTTCTAGGCTGAGGCTTATCAGGATCCCAGGCCTTGACTGCGACTAAACTTATGCATTGCAGTCACCTGCAAAAGAGAAAAGTTACTTCAGTTGCTTCCAGCTTGCTCTTTTACGATGCTCAGATTCGTTGGCGTTGCCAAAGTTCCACAGAGCAGCAGTGAAAGCAAAGCAGCACCTTGGCCCAACAAATGTGCAATTGCGGTGCAAGCTCAAGTGTGTCTCGCGCCCTACCCCTAGACTCCCTAGACGAGTTAGGATCGTGTTCAAGGAGCTGCAGATTCCATCCAGTTGGTTGGCAATGTTGCTCTTCCAGGGCTGAACTTGCTGCTGGTGCATCATGAACAGCACGATGGAAAAACCTCGGGCGAATCTCTGCACAACCTTTCTGCTTGGAGCAGCCTGCCAGCGACCACATAGCAATGCTGCACGTCCAAGGAGCCAAGCAGACAAGATTGAAAGGCCACGCCTCAGTCTGGGCATGCTGCACGTGGCCAGAACATATTTTATCTACCGTTGACCCTGCTTCGTGGAATCGATGCAGTATCATCAACTGAAGCGGGACAAGCGCTGTAAGGACACGGCCTCTTTGGAAAATGACCGGAACGAAAGCAAGAATGCAGTTCTTGAAGAGGGTCACGATGCAGTAATAATGCGCCTTGGTCACAACAGTTGCAAGGCCCCTTGAGCAGACTTCAACTTGAATGGCATCGCAGCAGGTGCACATCCTGTTTCACCCCGTGAAGAGCAGAGAAAGGTTTACGAGAGCCGACCTCTTTCCTCCCGTAGATTCCATCACGGCTCTGCAAAAGTTCAAGTAAAGAGAGATACTTCTCGCATCTTCTCGCTTTGATCTTAGTACTCAGCTGCTGAGCGCCAATGGTGCTGACGGCCTCAGGATATGGACGCCCTGCGGAAGGCAGCTCTGTTCTGAGAACCTCAACCGCAGCTGGGCCTCACACGCCTGTTCACAGGAGGGCAGTTACCATGTAAGGAGCCTACACGAGCCTTATATACACATTATGCAACTCCCGATTACCCCTGCATACCCTTATTACCCTTTATTGGAAACTCCCCCGCTGTAGTTGGTCATAAGTCCTAACCAGGCAAGCCAAAACTGGGCAACAACTTTCCGCGTATGCTCCACAATTGTATCTCCAAGGAGCCGCAGGCGTGAAACGGGAGAAAAGGAACTGCATGGAAAGCCTGGACTCCAAAAGCATTTTTCTTGACCAGTCAGTAACGCTGGTAAGAACATTGCCGTAAGCAGCTGCAAAGTACTCTACAGACCCAAAGACAAGCGGCACGAAGCTTCGGCCCTTCGAAGATTTGTCGAGCAACTTGCTGGGGTACACCTCTGCGCCAGCTGCTTGGAACATCCATGCTAGTAAGGCTACATGCGTGGATCGATGCGGGGATAAATGCACTGTAAACTTGATGCACTCTGGGCTAGCAGTTCAAGAGCTCCCAGCAGGGCAGCTGGAAGAAGGCAACAGAGAAAAAACACTTGACCAAGTACCACAACTTCGGGAAACCCGGAAACCCCCATTGCACAGCCGTGCTTGTCGGCTATTTTGCGTCCGAGGACCCATGTGGCCCAAATGCTGACCGCCAGAAATGGAAAGGGCATGGCAAGGAATGAAACGAGGCCCACGAGCATCAACAGTGGATGCTCTCCTTGGCTGTGACAAAAGCAAATAATCCTGGCTTTGCATGTTCCAAGTCGAAGATTGCAGTAGTAGTAAGAAGCCCAGCTACCTTCAGTGAAGCACAGGATGGAGGGCATAGCCGATACTGAAGAACCTGCATGGAAGCAGAAGCACAGGACAGAATTCGCAGTCATGTGGCTCTCCCGGACTCTCTTTGCTGGGACCCTGTCTTTCTCTCTGCCTCCACCTCTCCCTGTCCCGCTCCCTCCCCAAATCTATCGCGGCAGCACCTGGACACTGTAGGGTGGTGGCGTTCTCTCTGTACTGCGGAGAGTCTGCCTTGGTGCGCTCGCTCTGTCCCTTCGCCATTTTTTTCCTTGGGGAGGATTCCTGCATTTTTCCGGAGCCACATCTAGCGCTCTGCTGCTCCACTCTCTATCCAGCGCGGCTCACCTTCTGCCTAAGAGCTTGAAGAAGGAGAGGAAGACGTTGCAGGGCGCGCCTTCTCGTCCTTCCCTTCTTAACGGGTTCTGTCTTGGCTGGGCCTTCCGGCAGCGGATTTTGACCTCCAGCTTAGCTTCTGTCGGCCTCTGCATCCTCCACGTGCTGCCCGTGCAATTTCTTCGATGATCGCTGCTTCATTTCAGTGTCGGCAGCTTGGTTGATGAGTGCGTCACACTTCTCGGTAAGGTAGTCATAGCGAAAACTTGCAGCTTGCTAGTGTACTTTCATCTCACACTAAATAAAAGGGACTAAATGTGAATGTAGGTAAGTTGAGGTTTCCTGCTGCAAATCCATGTTTTCAATCATGGACGGCTTCAGGCTGGCCATGACCCGTATAAACTTCACCAACTGAAATACGACACTGACACAGAAACCTAGGATATACCATCTCCATCTCCAAGACATGAAACTTCGACTGCGGACTGATTGAAGTTGATTTCCATGTTTTCATCGTATCCCTATCCACACAGCACGAGACTCTGCAACACATCCACAAACACGCATACCATCAAAGCTCCAGGAACCACCCATCTTTACTACTGCCTATCTACCTTTGTTACATGAGTTTGCAATCTTTAGGTGTTCTCCTAAGCCTCAAAGCGTTCCACAATTCTGATCCCAAAGCTGGCAGACTACTTGTTGAGCGAACGACCCCCTCTGGTCTTGTTCTGCTTCTTCTTCTACAAGCTACTCCGGGTCACTCTCTCACTTCTTCTTCTTCTTCTCACAAGTCTTCCATCCCCCTCACGCGAGGTGTTGTCGCAAGTTCGGTCGGGTACCACCGAGACCCCGGTCACCGCAAGAATCGCTCTTTCTTTCTTTCTTTCTTGGCGTTAGGGAGCACTACTGCTCCCATGGGGCCCAGCCCCACGCCGCACGTGTCTCAGTCCGCACGCACTCCCGAGGAACATGGATCAATGGCCTCCCTTTGATATAAAGTAAAGATAGCCCGCTACTCCCAGCCAAGAATCGCTCTCTCTCTCTCTCTCTCTCTCTCTCTGCTTTGGTTGGGGATAACCCCCTAGGGGCCCCCAAGTTTGCAAATTCTCTTTTCAACTGAGCCGTTTGATCTTCTCTCTTTGTAGTTTGGAGCCCAGAGGCCAGAGCCAGGATGGTCGAAGCAGCGCATGGGCAGCACGCAGTTAATGACCAAGGAGATGAATGCCACCTGCGCGAGCAGCTGCTCTGCCAAAGCCACCCTGCGAAATGGCAGGATGACCTGAGCCCTGGACCCCTTCCATAAATGCATGCAGGCATGTAGAAAAAGAAGCTCAAGGATGTCTGTCAAACGGTCAAACCATGTCAAACCTAATAGTGTTTTTTCGTGCCTGTAAACAGCGTGACAATCAAAACCCAGTTCACCTAGCAAAACCCAAGGTAACATATCACGTTGGATGCCTTTAGCTGACAAACACCTGATCAAAGTGTGCAGAAACCATGGTAATGATTAGCATGAAGGCAATTGATGCGTTCTGACAGCTATGGATCTGTCTTGGGCATCCTGGACTGAAGATCCTAACGGTCGGGGTTGAGCGCCCTGAAGCAGCAGCCTGGAAGAAAGTGCCCACGGTGTTGCAAAACTGGATGCGCACCTGTTGGAGAGCTTGGTTTAAAAGACAAATCTCGTTTGGAGCTTGGATGTTGCGTCATTTGACTGCCGCAATGCCACTTCATGGGCCTGTCGTAGTGAAGATGACCCCAAGATATCCCAAGATGCTAAGACACAGGACACTTAAACGCGGCTCACAAAGTGGAGCTGGGAAGTGGTTGCAGCGACTCAGCTTTGAGATTAGCATGGGATGCATAACACCTAAACGTGAGCCTCTGTGCCAGGAATGATCCGCTTCTTGCAACCCAGGGTGATGAGCACCAGGGGAATAAAGAACTTGGTGACCAGCCAAGTTGAAGCGGCAAGGCCAGGTTGAGTTGGCATCAGATTGACAACCACATGATGGTAGGACAGCCCAGTACAAGCCACCTCAGTAAGCCTTGACTTTTTGTCAACACTGATTCTGCCGGGCATCGGGTACGGCACATTGCTGCAGAGTATACTTGCGCACTTCCTGAGTGCTTCAGGTGAGTTACAACAGAAGCCGTTACTCACCACCAGCTATCCCCTGACAAATGAACGTCTGGGAGCATAATACGGGAGCATGAAGAACAAAATGGAAACCGTTATGTGATTTAGGCTTATCCCCATATCGCTGGCAAGGGCGATGACGATGATAACCCTGGCTATAAGGACATCATTAGAACAGTACTAGTTGTAAAGAAACTAACAACAGCAACAGCAGCAGCATGGTGCCAGGGAACATGATGGCGATGACCGTGGCGGGGATAGTAATAACCCTAACCAAGAATGGAAGTAATGACAATGGTGCGTGAGAATAATCGCGCTGGTAGTAAAAAGGCAACAACAGCAACAAGAAAATTACGCATGATGGAGAAACTTGCGCATGATGGAATCATTCATTCTAGCACTAAGCGTGCAATGGTAAAAAAAAAAAAAAAAAACAAGGTCATGAGCGCAATTATGATGATGGCCCTACCCGTACTGACAATATCAGTCATGTTGATAAAAGTGAAAATGGCAACGAGAGCAAGAATGACGATGATAAGAGTTGAAATGACTCTAATGATATGAGCACTAGAGGTTGTAGCAATAACAGCATGAATAAGTGGAGAAACAAAAGAGCAGAAAGCAGGAAGCTACAGTGGAAGCAAAGGGAAGGACCTGGAAGAGCACACTGCAGAACATCTTTGCAAACGCATGCCAACTTAGGACCCTGAAGGGGCAGAGGCCGGAAGTAAAAATGCTGACACTCCACTTGTTAATGCATGTCAATATAAACGGTTCCGTCATCATCTTCACCTGTCCCCATCAACAACATTACGACACTCACTCCAGGAGCCATGTCGATTAAATGCTGCAGCAGCCGTAGAGGGGCTTACTGTCGTGGCTACAGCGACACCGTCAGAACCCTCACTATCTGGAAGCCAACGCACAGAAAGAGCTTCATCCATGCCAGATACGGAAGTTTGCGCAAGATCTTGTCAAGGATCAATCTGGCCGAACACGCAGCCGCCATTCAATAGATCCAGGTCAAAAGACATCACAGACCTTACTTAGTCATAACTGCCCCTCTGTCGTCGTCAATCCCCAACACCAAGTTCAGTGGAAGGGCATCAAGTCGAGCACACTGCGCATGGGCTCAAACCAGTCAATTTCCAACTGGCGGAAGATGTTCAAGCTTTGGAAGCAGCTAACCTGCAACGGCACATGGCCCTTGGAGATGCATAGAGTTTCACAAACTGTGGAATGGCAAGCGGCAGTCATTCCGCTCAGGATGGCCACCATGACGCTGGCATTGGACCGGACAAGTGGGTCCTCCCGTGCAGGCTTCACGGCCCTGGTCAGCTCATGCTCAATCGCTTTAATCTGCACGACTCATCACAAGATCACCTCTCAGGTACCGTAGTTGTGCCTCTCCGATACATCAGGCATCGCTTACTGCTCTAACTGCTTCTCACGGTCCTTATTGATGGCTAAGGTTGTCAGCACCACGAGCACAAC